AGGCTAACCTTTAAACAGGAAGAAGTGTGAGGCAGGGCGGGCGGGGAAGGGTAATTGCCTGGTGCCATAACCCGGAGGAGCTGAACGCTGGCACCGTAAGCGTCCGAGCGATGCCCTCGGAGGAGGGTGGTCCCAGGCAGGTCACACGGGAGCTTGTACCGAAGGCAGGATTCGTGCCCTCACAGGGAGGGTCACTGGAGCAGAGGGCTCAGGTAATAAATAGAGTGGCAGTTACGAAACAGAAAGGTATGCTGAGCCCTTTAAAAACATAAAAGAATGAATCAAATTTCTAAAAAAAGAGCAAGAGCCTATTTAACAATAAAAGCATATTCCAGATGTGGAAGCTGGCAGACAACCCGTCACACTAACAGGTGTTTCAGGAAAGAAAACGTGAAGGGCCACGTTCAGAGATGCTGGCAGAGCAAGTTTTTAGATCTTAAGATTCAAACAGTTGACGTCTCAAATGGTGTAAATAGAAATCCAAAGTTTTTAATGGACTAGAAAGTGAAGGAAAGAACAAGCCCACTTTAAACTGCAACCGACCGGCTTTAAAATCACTGTCGAGCGTGTTATGGGCCAGACGCATCTCCATTGCCATGTGCCAAAGATGAATTTCTTTTCTGTCATCCACAGCAGGGTCCCCAACCCCTAGGCCGTGGACTGGTACCGGTCTGTAGCCTGTGAGGAACTGGGCTGCCCAGCAGGAGGTGAGTGGTGGGTGAGTGAGCAAAGCTTCATCTGTATCTGCAGCCGCTCCCCAGCGCCAGCAACACTGCCTCGGCTCCACCTCAGGTCATCAGGTTTTAGATTCTCATGGGAGCACCGGTCCCTGGTTCCAGAAAGGTTGGGGACTGCTGATCCATAGGACATAGTCTGAGAGTAGTGGGACTGGAAGGGAGTCGGGAATTGGAGTGGGGGGACAGGCTAGGGAAGGGTGGCACAGTTTAATGAAAATAAATCGTGTGTTTTGGTTAGCATTCACCAAGCTGTCATTACTAAGAAAGTGGCTTTCTTCTGTGCCACACTTACTGTGCCCCATGATGGTTATTGATTTATTTCTACGAGTCTGCAGGCATTGCTGCTGACAGTTTTTAAGATGATTGCCCAACGCACCTCCCCCCCCCGCCCCATTTCACATTGGAGAAAGTGTCAGTTTTCATTCAAACTTTGATATCATCCTAATCAGTGAGATTTTTTCATAGAAAGGACATGTGGGCACAACTCTTTGTCCTAATGTCATCTCTCCCGTTTGGGCCATGTGAACACACGTTCAAATTTATCCCCCACCCCCAATTTTTTTTCACCTTTATCCCTCCCAATTTTAGAACAACACTTCTGGTTAAGAAGCAGTCTGCACTGAAAAGTAATAGAGATTCATACTTCCATAATAAACTCTTTGAAAGTTAGACTTCAATTTGCCCCAGTGATTACGTCGTGGGAATCTAGACATAAAAGATCTTGGATGAGCCTGCGACGCAACCACTCCACCAGTGTAGATGCTTTTTTATCCCCTTTAAAAGATCCCTAGAACAGGTCACCGATCAGTAATTGAGTAGTCCTTTTGACATTTTCAAATGTCAAATACATCCCCGTTTTACGACTTCCAGAATGTTCTGAAAGTCAGGAGTGCCACAAAACAAATCAAAGAAATAGTCTCCTCACTCGAGGCTTTGCTTTCCTACGTTCTACTCCAGTATCGACTTTTGCTCATTTAACAAAGGCAATAAGCGTCTATCTCAAAGTGCACCTGGCTTTGGGTCTAAAGTAGAAAAACAAGACTATCAATATGCAATTGTCCTTGTCCCCAGAATGGCCTGATGTAGACTTCTTTAATCGCGTTTCCGTGCACGCACACAGATGTGCTCCCATTTATATCACAAGGATTTCAGTGAGAGAAAGCATCTCTTTCTGAAATCAATGAACAGACTGATAAGATCACGTTCGTACACAAAGTAAAATTAACCGCTGCCATTTTGACACACGAATCTCTTGAGATGTACACACTGACCACGATGCCTCTCACGCTTCTCACATTTTACAACAGACACAACGTAGCTGCTACCTCGACCGGTGCTGCCTGCCTACCACGCCCTGTGCCGTACATTCCTGGGAGGTGACTACGTTGGCCCCATTCTCCAGGTGATGAAATTAAGCTCGTGAAAAGGTTCCCCGGGCAGGTGGCTCGGAACCCCCCTCCACGCCGCCTCTTCATAAAGCACGGCAAACGGTGCTCCAATTTCTGTACCTCCATCGTTCGGGGCTAGAAAGAATTTATAGAGAGCAAAATACGAGAAATCCGTAAAGTTCTGGAAACTCCCACCACCAGCCCACACACACCAGAATGTGTCACTGGGACCAGCACCTTGGGGCAGCTGTCTTGCCCTCCCGTCTAGTTAGCTGGTGCCCCTTGGACACTTCCTTCATGAGGTACGCCCGAGCTCCCGTGGGAGGCGTGAGCTGGTAGGGGTGCGGTGGGCCGGGCTGCATAGGAGCCTGCAGGAAGAAAAGGCTGAAGATGGGAGTACTCCTTGCTGAGTCCAGCCTAAGAGCCAGGAAGCACCGCAGCCTCTGTGGGGAAATCCGCTGGATCGCGTCTCTTCACTCAACACAGGACAATTGCACAGTTATTAAACCGAGGGAAAGGCCAGACAGCCCGGCCAGTGTTTCGACATGATTTCCTCCCCTGCAGGGAGCATTGCACAGCGATCTGGGCCGACCCAGCTGCCAAGACAGGCCGAGAGGAGGAGGTTTCTCCTTGCTGGTTGGTCCTCGGGTTTGACGCTATTTTTATGAAAAGTGAGGGGGAGATCCCGCACAACAAGAGTTTTTTCTGCTGCGCATTTAAGTGAGCGGGAACTGGAGAGGAAAAACACAGTCGGTAGATGATGATTCTGGAACACTCTGCAAATGTTTCGGCTCCTGAGCCCTGAGGTGGGATGGAACAGGGAGGGGATGGTGACTGTGACTCCTGTCATCTGGAGGTGAGGTGCCTATAGAGGCCTGACAGTGTATGCGTGAGGGGGACGGGCCTCCCGACAGATGGCCCCTTGGTTTCTGCCTGCACGTGGACCTGGGGTGGGTGCAGGGTGCCCAAGGGTGGGTTCCAGGAGCCTTGTAAGTCTCTGCAGATTGTTCGTCAAGGTGGACGATCCCTGCACCGAAACTAGTGAGTTCTTACAAAGGCTTCTATGAACTCTAGGGTCAGCGCTCAGTGCTTTGGAACTGAACAGGTAGTAAGCACACGCTCCAGGAGTCTCTCTGCAAACTCAAGCCTTTGGCCACCAGAGGGCTGGGGTGGGGACAGGGGACGGCTGGGTCTCCCGGGGCTGTCGCTCAGTGGGACTCACTCCTGACGTGCTGGGCTGGTCCTGCCCCGCGGGGGTTGGTTGGCACCCCTTCTGCTGCATATGTTTAATGTCAACCCCGAGTCTGAGCCCCTGGTCCCAGCAGAGGGGAGAGTGGCCCCACAGCAGCACCGTGCACCGTCCTCACCTGGTCCCTGTGGTGTCCTCGACGGGGCATCCTGCCAGTCTCGCCCCTGCTGAGCCCTGACCTGCCTGGCCTGGAGCCTTGTGCCTGAACCCCATCTGCCTGACCCAGACGGGGCACTGCTGTCCCCCGCCCCGGGAAACCCACCCTGCCGTAGATGGCGAGTCCCCCACTTCCTGGCCTGGCCCTGTGCATGTGCCTTTTTCCTCCTGACAGCGAACGGTGGACAGTGGACAGTGGACAGTGGACGGGGACGGTGGATGAGCAGACTTCATTCTACATGCTCATCCAGCCCAAACCACAGGACCGGTTTCGGAGCCCCTGAGACTTATGCACATTTTACCACCCTCCCTCCCAGCGTCCCGTAGGACACTATGTCTATATTTGTTCCGGGTCCGCCAGTTCGGTCAGGGACTGACATTCAGATGGAACACAAGTTCTCCGGCTATGCTCGCTGGCCTGGCTTCTACGTCCGCAAAACAAAACTCAGTGTAAAGATACCTCCTTGAGAAGGTGTTCTTCTCTGCCTTTTTGGGGAGTGAGCGTCTCCCAGTGTCTGGCCTTCCCTCCCTTTAGAATTTTGGACTTGGCTCTTATTCTTCTGTCCTTTGCAGCAACCTGCCCCCCCCCCCACACACACACGCACACACACAAAGGCTCCTGCCCATCCCACCTGAGCTGCACCTCATGCCCCTGACCAACCTGGGCTCCACCTGTCCACTGCCAAGACACAAGGCCAGGCCTGCTTATTCAAGAAGACAGCATCAAGTCTACAGCCATGACACCCTGAACAAGTCCGATCCCATCTGATCTCGGAAGCTAAGCAGGGTCGGGCCTGGTTAGTACTTGGATGGGAGACCACCTAGGAAGACCAGGTGCTGTAGGCATAAAAAAAAAAAGTAAAAAATAAAAGGGATTATAAGCTGACAAGGTCCTTACAATCTGTGAGGTTAACTAAGGGTTGCCTTGCCTAAAAAAAAAAAAAAATGGCATCGAAACTACGGCGGGGTTTAAGACACTCGAACTGACAGTTCCGTCCCTTAAATAATTGACAGATGGGTTTCCTAGGCCTGGAGAGTGACAGGTTTACTACTTCTGACAAACTCACACTGGGAATTAATGACAGAAAATGTTACCCTCCCAGAGACGTTTGTTTTTTAAAAGCCTTATTATGACGTCACTGACAAATGGAGAACCCTGTCATCTCCCCGACATCGCCCTGTACCTAACTATGCTCACCGGTCCTTCGAAACCTGCAGCGGAATGCTTCCGCCAGCATCAAAATAATTAGAAACAGCTTTTGGAGGATCAGAGCCCATTTCTAAACAGTGGCAAGCAGAACCGCGTGCTTGCCTCTCTTCAACTTACCTTTAAACAACCCGATAAGCCGCCTGAGTGAGTTAGCTGCACGGCCTCCTTTTCTGCTCAACCAGGGACAGCCTTAGCTGAATCTGTCGGCCTGTCATTAAAAAGAAGAGCTTAATACCAAGTGAGCTGAATCGGACGTCCACGGTGCCTTCGTCGGCAGCACAAAAAACTAAAACTAGAACAAAACAGAGATTAGCGCGGCCCCAGCCAAGGATGAGATGCAGATTCGTGAAGTGTTCCATATTAACACGAAAAAAGTAGGAGTTCCATGTATCAAGCAAAGCTTCTCCAATTTTAAATGGATAAAACTGAATAACCCCATTCAACACTTTACATGACCGGGGGGTGGGGGTGGTGGGGTTGTTGTTTAAACCATGATATCGTCTACAGCTAAATTATACTTCGAGACACTAAACAAAATCGGATCCATTTCAGGGGTCAGGTTTTAATATGATTATGGTTGAGGGGTAAATCATAACGTTTGCCCTAATATTTATAGAATAAAATCGACTCTTCTATGCTGACAACACAGAACTCGGGAGTCTGGTCAAATATTTAATGAGAGGCCTCAATAGGGTCTAAGCCCTTATTGAAAAGTCTGACCCTTCCCGTAGGTACTTTTATTTTGGCTAAAACTTACATTAGGCTCCTGAATTTACAAACAAAATGTTTATTCCGGTGGCTACGGTTTGGAATCCTAAGCATGCGAGTATTAGAGCCGAGGGTAACAGCATTGCAGACACTTGGTTTATCACAGGTTTAAGAGAAGCAGAGGAACTAGTTTATTTTTGTACCCGAACTAGTAGCCAAGGAACCCTTCCCTCCTAATACTGCACGGCAAGTAATAATACTAATGTCACCAAGGTCCACGGAACACACTTAGACCTTGGTGACATTAGTATTATTACTAATGTCCAGACCAAATCGCTTGTTTTACCTGGCCATATAACCTGATGTGTTTTCCTTTTGTTTTTGGCTTCCAGATCCTTAAAGCTGTATTTATTTTAAATTCTCAGTAAGTCACTTATTTGAGTTGACTAGCATATATTTCTCTTTATTCTTTCCGATGTTTATAAAGATGCTGTCTGTTTGCAAAATTCAAGCACGCTTCTTGCAGAAAAGTCGCAAATTTAAGAAAATACAAAGAAGAAAATACACACCTTCCATAATTTTAACACTCAGAGATAATCATTGTTAAAATTTTGTTGGCTTTACTTTCAATCTGGCTTTTAGATTACGTCTATGTTTAGCTTGTTTAATAAATTGGAACTCTATCTTATATAAACTTGTAAGCTGACTTTTCCAATGAACATTAAATATTTTCCCCCATGACAACTAAATATACCTTCAAAACATGACTTCTATAATATTGTATGGCAACTATAATAAAATAAATTATTTTAAAAAACAAAGACAAATAAGCAAACACATGATCTCCAGCAGCATAACTGTGCAACAGTCTATTATATATATACCTTCTATCTATATACCTTCATGGACTTAATTATTGTTAGACATTTAATTTTTCAATTTTAACCATCATAAATTATAATGTAATGGATATAAATTTTTTCAAAGACATGATTTATAATGTCGACTTGTTTTCCAGAAATTTTTGCCAATACGCCCCTACCAACCGTGGGTGAGACTGGGAATATCAACACACCGTCATCTGTATTGAATAATGCAGGGTTGTTGTTTTTGTTTTTGTTTTTCCGGTAGGTAGAAAGTAGCATCTCATTTTAATTTGCATAAATTTGATTGCTAATTAAATAATACGTTTCATTTGTTCATTTCCAGTTTGTATTTCTTCTGTTCTGTTTTCTTATATTGAAGTGTTCACATTCATTTCATTGATTTAAAAGAGTCCCTAAGATAGTAATAATTATAATAGTTTCTCCTTCAATATTGTACATATATTTTCATTTATTTATTGTTAGAAGTTTTTTAATTTTTATAGACAAATCTATTTTGTGTGTGTGTGTGTGGTTTCTTCCATTGTTTATACCATCCTTCCCTATTCCAAGGTCACTAGCTTTCCTATCTTTTTGATTCTTTGTTTATAATATCATTTCTTTGCATATAATATCATTTCTCCACTAATTTGTAATATGTCCACTATCTTACATCGAGTTCTCGCAAAAGCATGTATTGGCTTTCTATGCCATCGATCTATTTTTGATCTCTTCTATTCCATTTGTCTATCTAGATCTAACAGCACCGTGTTTTAAATGCTGCACCTTCACGATAATTTCCTACATCCAATAACTCAAGTCTTCCTTCTAAAAAAAATTTTTTTTTTTCCAGAAACACTGTAGCTATTCCTGGATCTTTTACTCTTTCATGTGAATTTTGGGAACAATCTGTGACATCCCACCAAAAATTTGGTTGGAGTTTTTATTGGAATGGCATTGGATTTAGGGATGAATTTGTGTAGAATTTACATCTCTCTGATATTGTTCTCTACATTTGTGAAACTTGGTCTATTTCTCTATTTATTTAGGTCTTCCATGTCTAGCAATAATGTTTTAAAATTGATTTCAGAAAGTTCTTCCACATTTTTGTTCATTTTAATCTGAAGTATCTTATAATTTTGTGTTTTGTTTGTTTTTTGTTTTTTTTTTTTACTCCAATGATGGTATTAAAGATTTTCTCATACAGAAAAACTTTAAAATATCACTCTTAAAAGGGTGTCTTTTTATGTCTTGGCCAGAAACATTTTTTTACAGAATGAAAAATATTTTTAAATGAAAGGGAGCTCTGCTTATCTTTAAATAAAAGGCTATTTACTATCTTCTGTCACTGTAAATACATTTTAATGATGGGAAGCAAAGCAAGTCCAATCCAGTTCACCTATAAGATAACCAGAGTTGGAATCCAATTTGAGCTGGGCCGGGAAAGAAGCAGCCTCGGGTGACTGAGAGATAATCGGATCAGGCGCCAGCCCCTTCAAACACTCTCCGAGGACGAGGACGAGGACGAGGCTCTGACTCTTCAGAGCAGGCAGTGCTGGGGCCAGTCTCAGCCCCCTAGCCCAGACGTAGCCACTGTCATCATCAGAGAGTGTGTGTCCTTCTAGAAGGAGGGTGTGTTCATACATGTCTGTCTGTGCTCACACATTTGTACGGCCGGGAGCATGGAGTGCTGTGAGTGTGATGTATGCCTGCTTTATGCCGATGGCATCGCTCGTCCTGGATGGTGTCACTCGCAATGCCTTGGACATCTTTCTGGGGAATCCCAATGGGTCCAGCTCCATCTTCATCGCTGCTGGATGGTGTGCCACAGGCTGGCAGGATGGGAACTGACTTAACTCCCCCCATGATTGATAGGCATCTAGGTTATCGCAAATGTTTCACTATTGCCTTGTGATAGCAATCTTTTAAGATAAAGTCGAAAGGTATTCGCTGGCATCTGAGGCTCTCTTCTGTCCTCTACCTGTCTCTGCAGTCCCGCCCCGCCGGATATGTACCCTTCCCCAGATAATACACTCCAGGCAAACTCGTCTAGCACGATCTTCTGGCCTCAAAACCTTGATGCACGTCAATCCTTCCACCCGGAAGCCTCACTTTTCCTCTCCCTGTCTTTCTAAATGTGCCCTCTCATATCCCCACTGTTCTGTGAAGACTTCCCTCTTCCCTGGTCTCCCGGCTTATAATAACCTCTTTTTCTTCTAAGTATCTATTACATTCCATACCATTCATTTAATATTTGTACATTCTCTTGTATTAAATGTCATGAGATTGACACTCTAGATGACTCCACCTGGAAGTTAAATACTTGAAGTCAGAGAAAATCTCTTGCCTTTTAACTGACCTCCCTGCTCTGTTTTCTTTCCTCTTTGATGGCCTCTCCCCGACATGCCTACAGATCTGACCGCGTAATTCTTTGGCTTGCAGACGGATGGTGGTGGTGGTGATATCATCCTCAACAGCTCCCTCGTAAGTGAGGTCACCCGTCTTCCTCCGATCATGTGGTAGCAATGAAGAGTGTCTTGGAAAAAGATTCGTGATGGAGGAGAGAATGGTGTCGCCTCAAGCATTTTCATAATTGCCGAAATATCGAGGGAAAGAGCCATGCTCGTCACAAAACGAAATGCCCCTCTTTAAAGGGAGAGTGATCATGCCAATCACCACGAATCAGAGAATCTGGGAATGACCGAGAGAGGTTTTCTAAGGAGCCCTCGGGGAGGGAACACCATCACACAGCTGCTCAGCTGTGTTTCACCTTCAAAGCCACATCATAGGCTCTATGTATCAGCCCGCTTGGGCTTCCTTTATATTCCCAGCAAAACAGAAGCAATTCCGTTTCTGCTACTGTTGTAACTCGCACTTCAAACCGAGAAGGAAAGAAAACGAACTTCTCCCCAGCCATCCTTCCTGGTTCCTTGCTCCCCAAACGAGGGTTACCCTCAAGGAACTTGAATCTTCTGTGTGAATCACATGTCTGGCCTTGGAGATGTAATTTCCCGGCCATATTTGAATCCATATTTACACAGCCTTTATGAGCGCACGGATGCAAACTCTATTTTGAGGATCCGACGAGCTCAGAAGGAAAGTACAAAGTTTAATTCTAAGTAAATACATCTGGGGAGCATTCTCTCCCTTTGCACGCCCAGGAGTTTCATCCAGCTCAGGGTGAGCTGTCCCTCTGCCCTGGGAGGGTGAATTTCCCACCTCACCTCATTACAGACAAACACGCGTTTTCTGGGAGGGATGTTCCAAGACTTTCTAATTTACCTCCCTGTCTCCAGCGTGAATGAGTCTTTGCAGGTTTCCAAGAAAAGAGTCATATGCTGCCTGCGAGAGCGTCCCACACCCTCCGCCGCCCCATCCTGCTTTCGCCATCTTTAATCGAGTACTTGGACTGTGGACACTGATTCTTATGTGACTACGTAATGGGGTAGGAAGTGAGTGGCCTCAGCTACAATTGCCGGTACACCTTGCAATTGCTTCTTGTGACCCTGCACGTCAAGTTGCCTATGAGCAGGCCGGTAGGGCGGGTCTGAAGGCCGTCAGCGGCCTCAGTGCAATGGCCTGGAGTCCACTGCCCGCAGGTAGGGCCTCATCCCTGCTCCCAAGGGCTCTCCACCTTTCGAACTGGGCACCCACGATGCCCGGGACAATCTCCCTTGCCTCAAATCAACTGACTGTAGACTTTCTGCATGTCTTTGACATACCTTGCAACACCCAGATGAGTGTGTGACTGAATAACTGGGGATTGTAGCCTCGCCAAAGGAACACACCGGGCA